CAAAATTCCTCAAACCATTATCATCAACATTTCTAAATTATTGTATTAATGGTTTTATTTTAACAAATAATGTAAAATTGAATAAAACAAAATGGAATAGCACGAAAACGAAGAAATGATTGCAGAATTAAAATGTTCGTATATAATAGCATTTAAACAATAAAAAAAAATAATGTTTTAGAAATAAAGATCTGAATGTGTTTTCGAAATTAATAAAGTCATGACTGGTTTTATCGAATCCAGGGACAGATGGACGTAACAAACAAGCAAAAATGTTTGTTGTGTGTGGACTGTAGAAAACCTACTGAAAACTGAAATAATTCAAAAGGGGGATGAATTAAAGGAAAAAAATGGACTTGAAGTTGGAGGACTTTTACAAGAGAAATAATTGATCCAAGGGCGTCCAGAAATATGCCACTAACGGAGATTTAATTAAATTAATAAGAATTTATACAAAAAAATATATTTTCTTTGATTTTTATTTATTTGTTATTATTTATCACTAAGGTGATACAACCAACCTCCATATAAGTAAATTCAATTGGCAATTACCTACGATAATATTACAAGAATCCTAATAAAACATTAAAAAGTATAAAACTATGTTTCCGATTACGACAAGAAAATCGTCTAGGTAAAATTTCGAAATCAAAAATAAAACTGGATTACGGATTGCGGCGCTTTTTAACTTTTACAACTAGCGAAATATAGATTGTTGTTATCCAAGTCGATAACGAGAAACAAAAACTTTTTTGATTTTCTAAAAAATGTCTAATGAAACGTTTGCAAATTTATTAAGACGGTAAGCTTACTTTTTTTAAAATAAATTAATTCAACATTTAATTCGCCATTTTTCAGCATTAGAAGTACTAAAACGCCTACTTAGTAACAAAACGAGTTTTCTAGAAAATATTCGGCTCTTGAAATGTCAAGTTATAACAAATTAAATAAAAATTTGACTAAATTTTAATCAAAAATAATTTAATCTCTCTCTTTAACAAAATTCCTCAAACCATTATAATCAAAATTTCTCAATTATTGTATTAATGGTTTTATTTTAACAAATAATATAAAATTGAATGAAACAAAATGGAATAGCACATTTAGAGCCAGGTTTTCAAATTTCTTGCAATAAGTCATCAAAATTTTCTAAAATAAGGCCGATAACATAATTTAACCTTGATTTTGCGATAGTCTGCATGAAATTATCTTAAAATCAGTAAAAAAAACACGAAATARGTAGGTAACACATTTATAACCGATTTCTAAACTCGAAACCAACTAAACTTTTCAAAATTTTGTATAGTTTTTTAGGTCGACAATTTTTTGTGTTTCGCTGGCGTTAGTATAACATTTCTTCAGTCTCTATATTTTACATTCCAAAATCAGAAACGTCTTTTAATTATGCATAGCTTTCCTTCCGCAAAACTCAAGTAACTTAAGTAAGCATATAGATATTTGAACAGCTTTTATCTAAATGCATATGCTTCATCAATCTTCATTAAAAAYTAAGCTTTTTGGCTTTGAATCCATAGATAAAAAGTAGACTGTCGTAAATTAAAATCAATCATTAGCGAAATTTCATCTATTGGCAAATCACYGAAAATAATCTCAGTAGTTGCTTCTAGTTCCCATCATAGGATATTAGAATCATGTCGCAATCCTCTTTAATGCATCAAAATTTCTCATCTTTGTCCTTCCTGCAGGATCGACAAGTGGCGCCTCGAACCGCGAGGATCGCAAGAACAGCGTGATGGAAATAACCGAGACAGGCAAAGAGAACAGCCCCCCTTCGAGTCCGGAGCGCACGTCGCCCCCTCGCCTCGGCCCCGGCCAGATCAAGCCGCGGGGCTTCCGCTTGTCCAGCACGCGGCCCGTGGAGCTGAAACTGGGCCTGCTGATGACCAAGGGCCAGCTGGAGGTGGAGGTGGTGTGTGCGCGCCACATCGCCCCCCGCGAGACGCCCCCCGACACCTACGTCAAGTGCTACCTGCGCGACGGCGACCGCTGGCTGCAGAAGAAGAAGACGCGCGTGGTGCGCCACTCCTGCGAGCCCCAATTCCGGCAGACCCTCAAGTACCAGGCGTGCGACGTGCTGGGGCGCAGTCTCGTCGTCATGCTGTGGGAGCGCCAAGGGGGCTTCGAGCACAACCAGGGGCTGGGAGGGGCCGAAGTGGCCCTGGACTCGCTCACTCTCACTCATCTCACTACCGGATGGTACCCGCTCTTTCCCATTCATTCCCTCGGATCGGATTCGAATGATTCGCCTTGACCTGTTCCAGACTCACCCCCTGAGGATCCCTCCGATTGAGACACCGAGATGTAACTTCCCATCCCGCTTGCTTTCATTCACGCTTTCATATACTTGAGTGGTGTGCGAGATAACTTCCTAATTGAGTTCATTACAAATTATTGGACTTATTACAGTCGACTGTAATGCATATTTCAATGCTTTCATCTTCCTTTCGCAATAATCGAAAGCAGCCAATTATGGCTCGGGGAGACGCAGCGCATCAACGATCACAAGTTGTTACGACTTGAAAATCTGACGCACTGTCTGGTTACATTACATTACATGTTACATTACATGCAAGAAACGTATAAAAGGCAAGGAAAACAAAAAAAAAACTGCTATGGTTTAAAGAAACCACAATGCAAGTGAAACTTTTTTTCTGATCAAAACACACAAATACCGCGGAGCACTTGCGCGAATGAGTAAGAATATAAATGCTACACGGTCAGCTGATGCGAGCCATGGGCGCCTTTCACTTTACCCCTACTCCGCGGCCGGCTGTAATGCGACATGCGATAGATGGACAAAAATTTTCGAGGCACTTTAAAAAAATATTTTGAAGACAATAAATACTTCTTTCTATCGAACGATTGAACGACAAAGTAATCAATGAAGAAAAGGCCACCATTAAAAATACGATTAGAAAGATACAAACATACTTTCTAAAAAATAAACTAATAAAAATTTCATATTATTAAAGAAATTCAAAGAAAGAAGCTTTAACCCTCAATAAAGCCGTTCTAAAAAGCATTATTAAGTTAAAATGTGTCAATTATTTAATTTCATTACAAATGACTACTTGGAAAACATATATTTTTAAAACTTATCATGCTGTAACTAAACTAAAAAAGTGTCAAGCTCAACCAGACGTTAATTTTTTTTAAGAACTCTATTCATTCAAAGTACTTTAAAACCTCTTATTGCTAATGTGAAATATACAAGTGTTCCGTTTTTATAGTTACAAACTTAAACAAGTGATAGAATATTCAATTTTAAGACAAAAAGTCCTATGATCATGTATCAAAAAATGTTACGTAAGCGAGCTACACCCCCTGAAAGAGATGCGTTTTTAATGGGGTTTTCCCACTATTGCAGAATAGATAAAATTACAAAAGTTGGTACAGCTGATTACTTTTAAACACCTGAACGAATTCAAAGATCAGTTGTCGAAATTTTTAATTAAAAATTTAATTTTTAATTTTTTTCTTCTTTATGGTCTGTATGTAAGACAAATTATAAACTGATTTTACTTAAAAACGGTAAGTTGTATCGAAAAATCGCTTTTTTGTAAAAAACTATAAAATTTAGAATTTTGTGGCTGAAAGTGGGAAAAACCAACCGCCAAAATTTTACTCTATAAAGGTTATCAGTTGTACCAAATTTTATAATTTTATCCACGATAGCTTCTAAATTTTGGAAAAATTCCATTAAAAGATGCACCCCTTTCAAGGGATGTAGCTCCCTTATATAAAATTTTTCGATATATGTTTATAGGAAACCTTTATACTAAAATTGAATATTCTATCACCTGGTTAAATTTGTAACAATAAAAATGAAACACCCTGTATTTTACTACCGCTAGAGCCATTTTTGAGCCCTTGCACCCTTTTGAAGTTGTGATTAGATTTATTCCTTCCAATGTGACCATCATCACAGTCGAATAAAAAATGTTATCAATTATTGACACTATGCGTTCATTAAATTTCTGAAATTATTAAATTAAATTATAAAATACAGAAAATTATTGTTTATTCTTGCTAATTATTCAAAATGAATATGCAAATGAATTATGCAAAAGTTCAATCTCATGCTGGAAGAACGATTTCTTGAAAACTAGATCCAAAATAACAGTAACCGATTCGTTCTAGAATATAATATTAATATCCCCAATTCTAATTTAACTCCTAAAAATATAATTATGTTAAGTATTTCTAAATTACATATCTATAAACAAATTACAACTGTTGAAAACAACAAAAATGGTGGAGGCGTCGGGATAGAATTATACTACGACTAAACACAAAATTATTTTAAATTGAATTATTAAATAAAAGATAACAAGCAACAAAGAAGAACAAGAATCTAAAAACGTAAAATACTATGCGATTTCGATAGCTTGAGATCGTTTTTCACTGATTATCAGCATTTTAGGTCTATCATAAATTAGGTCTTCACAGAACCGTTAAAATTAAAATACTGATTTACAAAACAATCAATTAGAAAAACAAAAATGTATTTATAATAATTATAACATGACATTACAAATTACACATCAATGACAGGGATATTATAATTCTATATCTTTACATGAGTCAATATTACCAACTTACAGGCCCTTTAGATCAGAAATTTAATGAAACAGATGGTTTTATACAAATAAAAAGAACAATTATCAGATTTTTTAATTAACAAAAGAAACTAAATATAAAACATGTAGGTGCTTCATCTACCTTACAATAAGTACCAAGCCATATACATTTTACAAAATAATTAAGTGAAACTCAAAAAATTTTGTGTTTAATAATGTTATTATCTTTATTATATCCTTCCAAATACTTTTCAATCAGGAATAAAAAATGAAATGTAAACGAGTTTTACAGACATTTTTTTTAAATTAAGTTTAAAAAGACCGAAACAACTATTAGCCACGATATAAACATATTATAAATATGTTATGCATTTATTTTTCATGAATCCAAAAAAACAATAAACCGAAAAACAAAATTTATATTGTAATTATAATAACTAAAATTGTGAAACAATTTGTTTATAAAGAGAATTGGAAATAAAAACATTCATTGTCAAAATTTAACTACTACTATTTTATTAGAACCAAATAAAATTAAACAAAATTCTTTATCGAAAATTCTTATATGAAACCTAAATATTTAATGATGCACATACAAACCAGCAACATGAAAGAACCCTTCCGCTAGATGAAACAACGTTAAAATTTCCTCAAGTTTTCACTAATAAATGGAAAACGCATGAAAGAACGAACATGAATCATACATAAAGTAAGAGTACGTCTTTGAAAAAGTTTGATAAAAGAAATAAATAAATTTTAATATGGAAATTGAATTTAAGCTGAAATAATGAAAAAAAAAAGTAATAAGATCAACTTTTGATCGTTGATGCTTCATACCGTTATGAAATAGTATTTACATTCACATATTTAGTGATCGAGCACACCTTAGTGAAATCAAAAGCGCCGCACATAATTGACTTCATATCAATTCCATTGATTAATAATTATTTAAACGTAAAATAAAATTGATTGCAAGGACCAAAGAATTTGTACAGATTCGTTACTCAGATTATTTTTCTACGGATTTAACTGCGATTCATTTTAAAAAGTAAGTTTGGGGGGTACCAAACTAGTATGGACAAAAATATAACATATAACATAAAGAAATTAAGTGTAAAAATATATGTGCTAAATTACACCAATGTATATAAAACTTAATAGATAGCATTTGTTTGTTCGAATAAAAAAATCCCCTTTTCACTGGTAGGGGTTTCCTTTTATTGATACGAATATTTAGGAGAGATTTTATATGAAATTGTTTAATATTCGAATCTTGCATTACCTTCATATCACACTCTATTCGTTTATGCTCAGGTGGTTTGTTATTTTGAGTTTATTTCTGCATTTCATGACAATCTGTAGAATTAACTACGAAAACATTTAATCTAGGAAACCACATATCAATGTGGAAATATACATCATACGTAATTAACATATTTTATTTATGTAGTTCAGACTCTAAAGTACAGAGTGACTCAGCTATGACATTTTAACTTTGGCATTAAAATCAGAATGAGGTTAAAAATGAAAACCGATCAGGTCATCTTATCACTCTGTATGTACGTGAGGAAGAAAAGTGCAAAACGTAAAAAAATATATCTTTTACTCACTTTTTAAAACAATGCCAAAAACTAAGCACTCTGTGATTTTCTCATAACTTCACACTTTACTTTAGTTTTTATAAAAAAAATATGTAAATAAGCGTAAAAATATGTCATCAGATGTCTTAAAAATGTCAGAAATTAAAGATAAAATTGAGTAATTCCTATGGTGGATACTTGTAGAATATCACTTAATTCTCTCTTTAAAAAAGAATAAAAAATTATACGTGATACAGAGTGTTTTTTATTAGGTGTGGAAAAAATAGCATTCACTTCATTTTAATAAATAATTAATGGCATTTTCTACTTTAAAAGTATTCAAAAAATAACTAGTAAAATTTTGTTACAAAACCTTGAAATGTGCAAGTTTTACAATTACAAAATGTTTTTTTTTTCAGTTTTTCACTAATAAACTTCTTAGCAGAATGTTAAATACCTATGATTCATTATATAATTTAATCTAGAATCCTTTTCGACTTTTGCAAAATTTTAATTAAATGTAAGTTTTGAAGTAAAATGGAGAAAACCGAATTGATTCACAATTAGGATGTTTATCAAAACAATAATAAAACAGGTCAGAATATTATTTGAAAATTGTTATTGTTATAATCTCTTAGTAAAAGAACTAAATAGTTATTTAATTATTACACTAAAAGACCTAACAATTTTTGGAAGAGTTTCTAATAAATTTAATAAATTGCCTGAAATTCCTTTGCTAAACAACTATTTTTTCAAAAAGCAGAAGACTGTTGTTAATAAGGTACAAATAAGTGATAACGATTAGGGAGAAAAATTGGATACATTTATTCTTTTTATGGTAACAAAATACGTATTAACTTTATTATTAATAATATTTATTAATATTTAAATCTTTTACTAGTTTATAAATAAATAAGTTATGAAACTGTTTTTATTTCAATCTTATTTTCATTAAAACACAGTTTTGTACACCTAATATAAATCACCAAATGTATTTACGGCTGACAAAGATTTGGAAACATCTAAAAACTTTTCTTTTAATAATTACAAAAAGTTGAAGTTGAAAGAAATTTATATTGAAATTAGGCGTGCGCTTCATACTTAATACAAAATTATGCAAAATTAACATATTTATTTATTTATTTATTGTTTATAAAAAGTTATTACTCTGAAATCTACAGTCTTTTTATCATATCAGATGTCACTAAATTTCGATTCCAAAATTCCAAATTTTTGCCTAGCAAATATAAATTATCATTCGTGGTGAAAGTGAAAATAATTCTGTCCTGGTTTAGACCATAGATAAATATCATATCTACATACCCTTTTCGAATTACTATTTACTCAATTTTCTCTACTACCAGTTTTATCTTACTGTTAACCTCCACTCGTCGATTTATATACGCCTAGAGTAGCTTGTTCAAAATAAATGTGCTTTTAACACGTTTTAAAATCAAAGTTAACATGCGGATTTAAAATAATTGTAATTAAAGTGTTGATGCCTAATCACGATAAAATAGTAGAAAACTTCTTAATAAATCACAATAGCCGTAAGAAATTGAAAACGAATCATCTTGCAACAGTTTATATTTAGTAATTTGCCTAATAAACAATCACAGCTGACGTAAAATATGCAAGTAAAGATCCAAAATAAATGATATAAAATGACTGCGACTGAAAAGCCCTGTTAGTGAGATCTTTATAGGTTCTGTCTTCCGTAGTGTAGCAGACCACATCCATATCCCCTTGACATTGGATGGTACACGTCTAAAACTATATTTTTATGAAAAGAATCGAGATTCTTAGCAAGATCGTATGAGACTTTTGATACAATTTGATCGACTTGTGTATTTCCTAGCCTGTTCTAAATAATCAATGGCCTAACATTGAAACGCGACAATCCTCTTTAATACAATTACTCTATGGACGATATTCGTTTCTAAATGTTATAATTGTGTGGACATATCCCCTCTACTAGCTAGTGACAATCTGTTCATGTGATGTTTTTCATTTTAGTTACTTGGAACTGGATTGCAGCTTTTTTTACTCAACCCATTTAACGGCGTTGTAATCCAGAACCAGTTCGTATTATTTAAACATGTTATTGCTGTGCCACGGAGCATGATTGTTGACGTTAAGAAAGAGCAGTTCATGCTTCTGTTTTGTTTTAACATAGATATAACAATGTTACTTTAACAGCCATTTACAGATGTGTTAAAAATCCGAAT